CATTTCTGCTGGCAAAAAGGAAACAGCACTGGCCACTAACTAAAACTACACAAATTATCAAATTATCATCATCTAGTACTAGATAACAAAGGAAAAGACCAGTGGTTCTTAATTAGGCAGACTGTATGGTCTGAAAAAGTTGGCCAGGATATTCCCTCCCTCCTACTTGAGAAACTCCTTTATATGGTACTATATATCTTAAGTCATAAGTCAATGAATTCATAATGGTGACTATGGCCTACAGACCAGCAAGTTGCTTTGATTTTTATATTTTAATTCATTTAGGTAGAGGCATGTATTCTGCAGTTTGACAGCCCCCATACCGGTCCTTATTTCTAATGCCTAGCCTGTCTCACTCTATTCATTATTTGTCTGGGTTATGAATTGAGTTTGTGATTTCTGGCTAGAGGGAGAGGCAATAAAAATAACTACAAAGGAAAAAGGATGTGTGAAAGTAATTGTATAGTGATATGTCACTAGTTATATTCATAGATCTGGAATTAAAAATTCAATTTCTTAAGAAATTTTTTATTTCCTGGGGCTGGGAAGGTGGCTCCGTGGTAGAGCGCTTGCCTTGCATGCATGAGGCCCTGGGTTCGATTCCCCAGCACCACATAAGCAAAAAGGAAAAAAGCCGGAAGTGGCACTGTGGCTCAAGTGGTAGAGTGCTAGCCTTGAGCTGAAGAGCTGAGGGACAGCACACAGGCCCAGAGTTCAGGCCCACAACCGGACCCAAAAAAAAAAAAATTTTTTTTATTTCTTTCCTTATGTAAACAAGGATTGGTATGGTATCAAAAATCACTTCAAAATTGCAGTGGTGTAAGTGAAATAGAACACAGAATGCAGCTTCTATCTTAAGATAACATTCATTCATTTTGGCACTACTGTTTTGAGATAGGGTCTCACTTTTGCCCCAACTAGTCTGAAATGTAATCCTCCTATTTATGTATGCTTCCAGCATAGTTGGGATGAGAGGTCCACACTGTGTCCAGCTTTTTTTTTTTTTTAATTAGTTGGAATGGGATTTTGTGAATTTTTTGCCTGGAGGCTCAAACCTCATTCTTCCTCATCTTAGCCTCCCAAATGGGCAGGATTACCTCTGCTGTTCATTCCAAAGTCTTACACTAGCCTACACTTTCATGTGCCATGTAATGGTTTTTGGGATTCACAGGGTTATTGCAACTTATGGTAGCTTATTCTTTTTTTGTTACTATTGTTCTACTAATCAAATGTATTGCAACATACTATTTGCCTGTAGATGGTCCAATTCTGGACTCTTATGGATTAAGATGCTGTGAATGAATATTCAGGCATAAATCTTTTCTTCATTCCTCTAGGGCAAATACCCAGTAGTAGAATCTGTCATGTAGCACATGTATTTAAGAAGCTGTCAGTTTCCAAAGTACTTTCACCAACTTATGCATTTCTACTTAGCAATGTATGAGACTTTCAATTGTCTTACATCCTTGGTATCCATTTGATATTTTCAAGCTTCTCAATCCTATGTTTTCATTATTCCTAAATTCAAATGTTGACTAAGGAAATCATAGGAGTGATGACTTAAAGGCATTAAAACAAGTTGCCTGCAAATTAACATGTCTTAATAGGTGTGTGATGAGATCTCATTGTAGTTCAATTTATATTTTTCTGATGTATAGCTTGTTTTCATTAGCCATGGATATGTTTTCTTTTGTGTCTATGTAAATCTTTTGCTCACTTGTTATCTTGGTTTATTTGCATTTTTAACTAAATTCTCAGAGTACTTTGTTCTTGGAGATATAAAACCTTCACATACATTGTTGTAAAAAAAAATCTCCATTTATGGGTCTTTTCATTTTACTTTATATGGAATATAATGGGGTTTATGTCAGACCTGGGTCACGAACTCAGGGCCTGTGAGCTGTCTCTGAGCTTTCCACTCAAGGCTTGAGCCACAGCTCCATTTCTTTTTGGTGATTAACTGGAGACAAGTCTCAGGGACATTTTCTACCCAGCCTGGGTTTGAACCCCAATCCTCAGGTATCAACCTCCTTAATAGTTTACAGGGGTGAGCTACCAGCACCTAGCAAGGAAGGTAAGCTTTTTATTTTTATTTGTTGGTCATGGGGCTTGAACTCAGGGCCTGGGCACTGTCCCTGACCTGTTTTGCTCAATGCTAGTGCTTTGCCACTTCAAGCTACAGTGCCACTTCCAGTTTTTGAGTGGTTAATTGAAAATAAGTCTCATGGAGGCTTAAACCATGATCCTCAGATCTCAGCCTCCTGAATAGCCAGGATTACAGGCATGCGCCACCAGCACCTGGCTGGAAGATGGTTTTAAGGATTTTTTCCTTTCCTTAAAATCTTTGTATCCTGCCTAAAATCTTCACCTATTCTAAGATCATGAAGACTTTGTCCAATGTTTTCTTTTAGACACTTAGATCTATGCCATACTTTGAGTTAACTTTTGTGTATGGTTTACGTAAGAGTTGATCATTTGTTCCACAGATATATAGTTGTTCCAGAACTATCATCCTAAATGACTATTTCCTCCCTTATCCTAAATGATCCTTTGGATTTCCTAGGACTTTACTGATTTTCTCTTGTATTTTTCTATGTTATTTTGGGTCTCATTTATCTCTTACTGTATATTTCCACTGAATTGTTTTACTCTTCACTATTCCCTTCATAGCACTTACAACTTAATTGCTTCTTTCTACATTCTAAAAGTGTAAGATAGATCTTGATTATAGAATTCTTTTCTATCATGAGCTTGTGAACTGTTATTTTCCCACTAGTCACTCCTTTGGTGGGATCCTATAAATTGAATATAGTCACTATTCCTAAATTCAAAATATTGAATTGAAAAACACTTTTTAATTTCTTTCGTGATTTCATTTTTCACTTTGGGCTACTTTTGGAGTGTGAGATTAAATTCCTAAATATTTAAGAATTAATTCCATGGCCTGAATTTCATCTATTTGTGGAGCTCCTACCCTGTACTCAACAAGTTCTCATCCAAAGAACTTCCCTTGTTTGCTGATAAGCGAAACTAGCATTTTGGAGGAGTGTAAATGTGAAACTTGATTAGGCCTTGTTAGATTCAAGTATGAATCTAGAGATAAGAGTATGATACACAGATAGCCTAAGCTCTCAAGCAATGCTTCCTGGGCTGGCCAATGGAAAGGGTACACTTGTGAACTTCTACAAGGGAATGTGTAATGGAAGTCTAATTGGTTGGAAAGAATGTATAATATCATAGTCAAATCACTAGTAATAGGTGATACATGGATCTACATTACATGAATAGTGTTTCTACCTCTTACAAATGATGGCATTGTATCCAAGCATAGTTCACAGATTATTAACTAATTTTCCAGTCTATTTAAACAGTATTTCTTTAGCATCATAAACTCCTAGGCAGAATGATCTAGTTAAAAGTCTACTTTAAAAGAACTCATTACCTTAATTTGATTATTAATTTTGTTCTCTTTGAGATTCCATGTGTAATAAGATTGTTTTTCATGAAATTTTTGTCTTTCAGTTTCTCTATTTGTTGTACAAGTTTTCCATAATATCCAAAGTATATAATTTGCTTATCAAACAGAAAAAAACAAATCAAATTATGTACATCTAAAAGCTAAAAATAGAAATATTCTCAATATTTTAATGATCACTGCAGAATTTAATTATCTCTCATTGTAGGAGTGAAATGTTACAGTGATGAAAGTGTGTTGCATTAAACTTGATAAGCTTAACATTTCTGACTTAAAAAAAAAAAACAAAAAACAAAAACCCAAAAACTAGAAGTGGAACTGTGGCTTGAGCCTTGAGCAAAAAAAAAAAAATCACAAGGACAACACCCAAGCCCTGAGTTCAAGCCCCAGGATCGGCCCCACAAAAATAAAAATAAAAATCTCTAGTATATAAAAAGAAACTATGAAAGTATGATTACACCAAACAGCTTAATTTTTTTTTTGGTTGGTCCTGGGGCTTGAACTCTGGGCATGGACACTACCCCTCAGCTCTTCAGCTCAAGGCTAGCACTCTACCACTTGAGCTACAGTGCCACTTCCGGTTTTCTGGCGGTTTATTGGAGATAAGAGTCTCACAGACTTTCCTGCCCAGGCTGGCTTTGAACCGCAATGTGATCCTCAGATCTCAGCCTCCTGAGTAGCTAGGATTACAAGTGTGAGCCACAGGCACCTAGCTCAGCTTACATTTTTATATGATTCCTCACTCAGTTTTTCAACATAGGAAACATTAGAAAATTTAAGAACCTACCATATAATCCTTACTATTTACATATAAATTGCCATCAATACTTTTATGAAAAGTATCCTCCCTTCCCCAAAAAAGGAATAAAAGGGCCTTATTAACATACTCTTGTCTCAAAAAATATAAAGCACAAATAAAAAGTCCTTTAATCTATCCCTTTACCAAATACAAATCACATCTGTTCTAACTGAAACTCTGGTCATTTAACTTAGGAGGGCAATTTAAGGAAGAATGCTTACATATAAAATCTGTGCCTTAGAGAATCAGCTTCTATTAATCCACATTTTCTTTTCTTTTTTTTTTTTGGGTCCGGTCGTGGGGCCTGAACTCTGGGCCTGGGCACTGTCCCTCAGCCCTTCAGCTCAAGGCTAGCGCTCTACCACTTGAGCCACAGCGCCACTTCCGGCTTTTTCTTTTTGCTTATGCAGTGCTGAGGAATCGAACCCAGAGCCTCATACGTGCAAGGCAAGCGCTCTACCACTGAGCCACCTTCCCAGCCCCTAATCCACATTTTCTAAGTGGTAATTTATTAAGAACACTTTCCTGATGATCAGGTTCACTGTATGTCTAGCAGAGTAATCTCCCAGTATGCCACACAAATTACCGTTACAATTTTTCCATATATATATGTATGTGTGTGTGTGTATATGTATGTGTGTGTGTGTGTGTGTGTGTGTGTGTGTGTGTATATAAATACCTCAATGAGTGGCTCTCAGAAAGATCAAAAAGTAAATGTAACAATCATACAGTTGTTTAAACTTTATTTTTATATGCTTATAAGATTTCGAGTACAATACATCAAACGAGACAATTGGAAATTAACAATGTATACGCAGGAAGAGTATAAAGAATACATACAGGATACATTATTTGTTGTGAGGATGCAAAAGAACAGTGTTTTTGGCTTTAAAATTCTGATACCAATGTCTATTATAACATTCAAGTAAAACATGTTTCAAGTTATTTTAAAAATAACTATATTAAAATGTAATTCTAAGACAACCTGCCTCGACCACGATCTTCAAAATAGTGCTGTTCAATTCTTCTACAGAAAGCAAGGAGGTTACTATAGTTTTTCACCTTCTCACAAAGTTCATCATTGGTCAGTCGAGTGGTGAGAATGGTGTACAGATGGCCAAATACTAGGGCATCAAGTTCAGTAGGTCTAAAACAAAAGCAAAAATGAGAATATCATTACTGAGATCTGACTGAATTGTTTTAAAGTTCATTTCCAACATAGTGTCTTGTGAGTATCACTGTTGCTTTGGTTCACCCTTTATCCTACCCTTTCTGTGATTTCCCTTCTCATCTCCAAATCAAATAAACAAGACAAAGTGTACTGAAATCAAAAACAGTGACCACAGGGAATAAATCAGAGGGAAAAAATGAAGAAAAAAAGAAATAACTGCAAACAGTGCACTAAAACAAACAAAACAACAACAACAAAACAATTTCGTTTCCATATCTTGGAGTTCATTTTAATTAGCATCATTTTATGTGGTCATATGTACACAGCTATGGAACTATTGTGACCTTCTGCTAGTACTATCTTAGGTGTATACTAATTACTACAAATGAGGAAAACCATGGAGCTTATATTTCTTTGGTCTGGCTTACTCAGTGTGATTTTTTTTTCCAATTTTTTCCATTTCCTTACAAATGGTACAATGTCATTCTTTCTGATGGAAGCATAGAATCCCATTGTGTATATATATCACATTTTCCTGATCTATTCATCTCGTGAGGGGTATCTGGGTTGATTCCATATCTTAGGTATGGCAAATTATCCTTATATGTCATCCTGTACCAGAATCAATTCCAAATGGATCGAAGACCTTACTGTAAGATATCCTGAAAACAGTAAGGAAGGGCTAGGACAAACACTAGGGCTCCTTGGTCCAGGTCAAAACTTCCTAAATACTTCCTAAATAAAGATCCAGAAACACAACAAATCACACAAAGGCTAAATAAATGGGATTACAGTAAACTGCAGAACTTCTGTATGGCAAAGGACATAGCTAGCAAGATCAATAGAAAGCCCACAGATTGGGAAAAGATCTTGACTTGCTATACAACAGACAAGGGCCTCATATCTAAAATATGTTTAGAGCTCAAAAAATTAAACCCTCCAAAAACAAATCCTCAAAGAAACAACCACCCATTAACAAGTGGGCTAAAGACTAAAAATTAGAGACTTCTCTGAAGAGGAAATAAGAATGGCTAATAGACACATTAAGAAATGCTCAACTTCTCTAGACAAAAAAGAAATGCAAATCAAAACAACATTGAGATTCTACCTCACTCCAGTTAGAATGGCTATAACCAAGAAATCTAGTAACAACAGATGCTGGAGGGGAAATGGCCAAAAGGGAACACTACTGCATTGTTGGAAATGCAAACTGCTTTGATCACTCTGGAAAGCAGTATGGAAGTTCCTCAAAAGACTAAACATAGAACTGCCCTGTGAGCCAGCAATCCCACATCTGGGCATTTACCCAAATAACCACAAACAAGGACATACTAAAGCTACCAGCACAGCTATGTTCATTTGTGGTTTTTTTGTGCCAGTCCTAGGACTTGGGTCCTAGGGCCTAGGTGCTGTCCCTGAGCTTTTTATGCTCAAGGTCAGTACTTTACCACTTAAACCAACGCTCCACATCAGCTTTTTTGGTTGTTAATTGGAAATAAAGAGTCTCATGGGCTTTCCTGTCAAGGATGGCTTCTAAGTATGATCCTCAGATATCAGTCTCCTGGGTAGCTAGTATAAAGGTCTGAGCCACCTTCACCCAAATGACTTTTCAAAATATTCCACTGCCAACTAAAAAGAAAAAAATTCACAGAATAATTCTACCACAGCTTAAAGAATGTATTATTCCTTTTTAACTTTGTTATAAGACATGAAAAAAAAACCTTAATTTGCTAGCTGCGACTTGCTTTTGGAAGAGGACTATTTAACTGTTTAAATATATATTAACAGATGATATTAATTTTATTATTTTAATCACCAAATAAATATAGTAGGGCTAAAGTATGTCAGGAAACTGTCAGATACAAAAACAAGAAAACGTAAATATAATTTATAAAAGTTTAATAGATTAAACTCATTTTTAAACAATAAGCTTCTTTTTTTTTAAAAAAAAAAGCAATTTAGATTTCTAAAGACAATCCTAAAGATGGTTTCAACATAAAATTTTCTAGGAATTTTTTAAATAACATAACCCCAGAACCAATGATCTATAAATGGAGCATCAACAGTCTATATAATATTACAACAAATACTAATGCCATTATTACTAAAAGAGAAAGCACTGTCATAATTATGAAATTTGTGTGTGTGCTGATCCCAAGGCTTGAACTTAGGGCCTCATGCTCTCATTTGGCTTGCTTTGCCCTACCACTTGAGCCATGCATTTTACTATCATTCCTATACTGATAAATTTTTGAGAAAACAAGTGTTAGCCACTGCCACTTACTAGCTATGATCCTAATTTCATTCTCCATGTAGCATTTAGACCATCTACCATATATTGTTCATTATGTCTCTTCTATCAAAATGTAGGTTGTATGATAGAGAAAAAAACAAAAAAAAAAAAACCCTGATACTTCTTTCCTGATATTTTCCCAACATTTACAACAATGTTTGGCACAGGTGGGTTCTTAGTATGTGTTGCATGAGTCAATAAAAGGCATATGCTTCTTATACCACACTGTAACTGCATTTACCTCTTTTTCTCACATTTTATGTTCTTTAATGTAAAGCCAACAATGCCTTAGCACAGTTCTTAGCACAGTAGTTAGGATCTGAAATAGTATTGGGTAAATAAATGAAAGAAAGAACAAAGAAAGCATCCTGCCTATGGAGGATCAATTTCCAGCATCAATTATTCACATTCTTTGAAAGTCTTTCCTCTTTGACACATTCATGAAGTGTTAACTACAGTGAACATACAGCCAAGCATGATGGAGCATGCCTAATCTCAACATTTGAGAGACTGAGACAGGGGGATCATGGGTTCAAGATCAGTTTGGGCATCAAACAGAGTTCTTGTCTAAAACAAAATAAATAAAAATTTTTTAAAAGCTTGATGTGCAGTATATAGTCATATTTAAGAAGGTAATCAATCATAGTTTTTTAAAAAAAATCATGAGTGTCCTTGGACTCAATAGCACCATCATCTTTTTATCACAAATGAAGAATCAAATAACAAACAGATCTTTACAAAGACCCAGTGAAATCATGCAGAGTGGACAAATGTAGAGCTAAGGTACTTTGAGACAAGTAATATGAACACCAACTCTTTCACATCCCTAAATCTTGCTCTCTTTTTGGCAGAGGAAATACTTGTGGGGGGGGGGGGGATATCTGCTAGGCCAGCCTCTACTGCAGCCATGCTACTGACACTTTCTGCTTTAGTTATGTTTCAGATGGAGCCTTGAGCTTTGTGCCTGACCTTGATCACAATCCTCTTACATATGCCTCCCACATAGCTGAGATTACCAATAAAAAACACTACAAGGGCTTCTTTGTTGAGATGCACTTTTGCTAAATTTTTGCCCAAGTTGTCCTCAAACCAGGATCCTTCCCATCTCTGCCTCTCTGCCTCCCAAGCAACACGTACCACCACACATAGGCCACCTAAACATTTCTTTTTTTTTAATTTTATTTTATTTGTGAACATGCTGTACAGAGGAGTTACAATTACATGGGCAGGATAATGCGTACATTTCTTACCAAGCATTGCAGCCGCCTCCTTTGTTTACCCTTCACATCCCTTCCCAGCCTCCCCCCTCCCCCCCAATCCCAATCCTTTTCCTTCCCCCCTCTTCCCCCCCCCGCACCGACGTTGTAAAGCTCGTTTTGGACTTGACAACTTGTACTTCTCATTGTTGCAACAGGTCCACCTGTATCCTTAAACAACTGGTTTTTCCCCATCTCCTCCACAAGTTATACTGACATCAAATATAGTGAAAGCAGGGGTTATACTGTTGGGGAGGGACATACAAAGCAACAAAGAGATAATCTTATAAATGCATTAGAAACACATGCATGAAAGAAAAAAACATTAAAATACACATCTAACAGTTCATTTTCCTGACATCACATTATCTGACCTTTTCCGCTTGACTCATACATATACTAGATATTGAAATTAAGGGAAACCATGGGACCTATGTTTCTTTGGGCCTGGCTTACTTCACTTAATATAATTTTTTCCAAGTTTTTCCATTTCCTAACAAATGGGGCAATGTCATTCTTTCTGATGGAGGCATAGAATTCCATTGTGTATATATACCACATTTTCTTGATCCATTCATCTACTGAGGGGCATCTGGGTTGGTTCCATATCTTAGCTATGATAAATAATGCTGCAATAAACATAGTTGTGCTGGTAGCTTTAGTGTGGTCTTGTTCATAAACATTTGGGTAAATGCCCAAAAGTGGGATTGCTGGGTCATAGGGGAGTTCTATGTGAAGTCTTTTGAGGAACCTCCATACTGCTTTCCAAAGTGGTTGAACATTCCCACCAACAATGAAGTAAGGTTCCTTTCTGTCCACATCCCCTCCAGCATCTGTTGTTGTTAGAGTTCTTGATTTTTGCCATTCTAACTGGAGTGAGGTGACCCTAAACATTTCTTAAAAGGTACCTTTTTAATTCTTGTTTAGTACTAACTACCATCACTTCTTGAATGAGAGCCTAAAAAATGTGAATAGCTTATGTAACTTCCAGGGTATAGCTATCCACTCTATAAATAAATGAAGGCTCTGAATGAGGTCAAGTGTATATGTGTGCTCAAATTAGAATGGTCCAGAAGAACCCCTGAAGTGATCCAAATGTATTTGCTGAAAACATACACTCACATAACTCCAAATGCAATGGATTATATATGGACAAAAGCATACAAAATTTATCTGGTGTTATATAAAATAGTTAATGTTCTGATATTACTTTAGAAAATATATGAAAAAGTATAATGAAATGGGGGTTGAAACAAACAAAATACAATTTTAAAAGCATATTTCTTATAATCCATAAATTCCAGCAATTCCTATTAACTGATTCTGATACACATAAATTATCAATTCCCATAACCCCTTCTTTTACAAATTCTTCTAGAAGTTACAAAACGATATGCCTTTGTTAAAATTCATAGATCTATACTCAC